CCGCGTGGCGATGGAGCGGCTGGCGGTCAAAAATGAGCCGCGTGATGGGGAAAAAGCGCCAAGAGACCTTCACTTGACGACGAACCAAGTAAAACGTCTCTGCCGCTCATGTCTTTCCTTCGCAGTGACGATGAGCTGCGCCTATTCAACCCCTCCGTTGGGGGAGATGAGAGTCCCGGGAGGCGTCAGCCACGCAGCAGCTTCAGCCAGTCGTCATTGTCCGCAATGGAGGAACCAGTCGTCACCGTCCACGTTCGTCGGCGTGTGTAACTGCGGCGTGCGCATTGCGCGTGTGTGGGGCCGCAGGCAGCGACGGTGCGGGCGCCCCCCGCACCTGTGGAATGAATTGTTTTGCGAGCGGGGGTCCGCCTTGCGCCGCGCCTGCGTGATGTATTTGATTGTCTGCTGAGAAGCCTCTGGGAGGGGCAGGCGGCCAGCGGGGCCCAAAGAAGTGGGCGGACGGTTTGTTTGCTTGAAGTTATTTTTCTTTCCTGCGGGCGTCAGCCGCGCCGCTTTCTGCGAGGGGCCGCGTTGGGGAGCTGGCGGGCGCAGCTCTGCCCCTCCGCCGCTCTGCGAGCTCCCGATGAGCCCGGCCGCCGCCGTAAAACGCCTGGATTTATCATTTTTTTGTTTTTCTTTTAGTTTTTTCCCCCTTTTTTTTATTCCGTGTTGAGGGCAAATCCCCTTCGCATTGGAGCGGCGGGCACAACTTGCCGAAGTGTTTGTTTTCTCGTGTTTTTTGTTTCCCCCTTTCCCCCGTGGGCGGTGTCTGGGGGCGCAGGAGGCCCCCCGCGCCACGGGGGCGCCTTTTTCCTCTTGAGTGCTTGTTTTTCTTTTTAGTTTTAGTTTTGGTTCTCTTTTTGTTTGTGTGTTTTTGTGCTGCGGCCCCCTCCGCGCAGTGCGTGCGCCGCGTGCGCTGAGAGTGGCGGGGTGACTTCCTTCCTGTGCGGGGGAGTGCGCTCCGGCGTGTGTAACTGCGGCGTGCGCATTGCGCGTGTGTGTGTGGCGGGAGGGAAGGGGCCCTTGGGCCCCGCTGCGGGCTCTCGTGAAGGCACATGCGGAGGAACGTGCACAAAACCTTCTTCTGCCATTGCTTTTTTTTTCTTTCCTAGCGGGATGGCAATGCCTCGACCATTTCCTCTTTCTCTGTTGGCGTGCGTTAGTCGAATGTACCCATTCCGCGGGTTGCTCATGTCTGTGTGTGCTTGTCCCTTTCTCTCTCGTTTTCTTTCTGCCCCTCGCTAGACGCTGTGCGTGTGTGTGTCTGTGTGTTGTGCCGCGGTGGGAGGAGTGTGGCGATGGCTGGCCGTGCGCTGTTGGTGTGCGCCCTCTGCGCGCTGTGCTGCGCCGCCGGCGGTGGCCGGGCGTCAGAGGTGGACTACTGCACGGAGAGCGACTGGAGGGACTTGCGGGCCGTCGCGACGGACATGACCGACGCGGAAATTCGTGCGAAGTACTGCGGCCGCAAGCCGGAGTTTGTGCGTGGGCTTTGGGCGAGTCTGCAGGACGATGAGAGGAAGGATGTGCCCACTAGATTGGGCACCCACACCGCGAGTGGGGTTGTTTCCGGAGTCCAGAGTCAAGAGGATAATCAGCCGGCCGGCCCTCTGGGCGAAAAGCAGAGTACGGAGGAGGGGAAGGGGACAGTGTCGGGAGGGAGAGGCTCCTCTACGGATCAGCCGGAGCAGAAGGAGACAATCGATGCCCCTTCGAGGCCGGCGCCGCCAGCAGGAGGACTGTCTGCGCTGCCGCAGGAAGAAGGGTCACCCCTTCAAGGCCAACCGCCCACACTTATAACAGTAGGCATAGGCCCAACTGAACAGAAAGCGGAATCAGTTCCGGGTCCATTGGAGACTGAAGATGCGGAAGAAGAAGTTGACGGCGACAGTGAAGAGGAAGACGAAGAGGCTGGGCGGAGTGGCGGTTCTTCTCCAGCTCCGCCGCCGGGCCGTGGCGGTGGCGGTGGCGGTGGCAGTGGCGGTGGTGCGTGGGAAAGGAATTCATCACTGTCAGGGACACAGCCGCCGAACTCAAAAATACAAGTCGGAGGCGGGGCAGTAACGACGACGGTCGCAGAAAAACATGGGCCTTCACCGTCACCGCCAGTAAAAGAGGAAACTGCAGAGGGGACGGAGTTAAGCCCGAAAGGGCCGCAGGGTGCGTCCCCTCCACCGCCATACGGCACGATTACTACACCGGCCGGAGGCAACGAGCAAACAACGTCGGTCCCTTCTCCTGCAGGTGACGGCGTGGATGCTGTCGGCAGTCCGAGTGGAGAGCGCACGGCGGGGGATGCCGACAACACCCCATCGCGTGTGAGCACGGAAC